GTGGTTTTCAAGCACTCAATCAAGTTTAGGATGGACGTTTTTAGTTGCAGCGTTTACGTACATGCGCGGATCAAGCAACTACAAATGCACGGGCATGGTTATATTGCTTTGGCTCCCGCCAGCGTGTGTCAGCATCCAACCGTCGAATTCACTCGGCAGTAGAGTCGGACCTGCAAGAGACGTTGATTGTTCATGTATCGGTTCCACACCTAACCAGTGTTCCACACTAACAGTAAACGTGTGGTAGTTGGGATTGTTATTACTTGAAAGTACTGTTCCGTCTCATGTTTACCTAGCAATTTTCTTTGTCCTTAAACATGAAAAATATCTGGGATATATTATTGAACTATTTCTAATAGAAGGCTGCATAGCTCGACGTTCTGCCAGGAGGCTATTTCTCTTCGCACCATATGGCAGCAAGAGTGTAAACGCATCGTGCACATCGTCATCGATGGAGTGCAGCAATGACGGATCTGTCTGCGGAGTTATGACACAGCAAGCATAGGCAGCAGGTGCGTGTGTACGATACGTGTTGCCTGTGACATATATGTGTGTATATGGTCCGACATTACCATCATGGGAATATGGCATCTCTTCAATAGCATGTGGATACGCGTATGCGCGCGCGTGCGTGCATGTGCGTTTGTGTGCGCGCGCATGGTGTGCCTACGTGCGTGCATGTGTGCGCTCACGCGGATGGCGTACTTGCATGCGCGTGTGCGTGTGCGTAGCGTGCCCGTGCGGCGTGTGCGTTTGTGTCTTTTTAGGCGACGTGTTGCGTGTGTGTATGCGCGTGTGCGTGCTTAGTTGCGCGCGCGCGTTCGTGTGTGATTTACCGTCGGTGGTATAAGGCTCGACTTATCTTGGTCCAGCATTCGTCCTCGTTGCTTCAATCGCCGAAGCGCGCCGGAGAAATCCGTCGTGGTGCTGTTGTTGTGGGTTGTTGTTGTTGTTGTTGTTGTTGTTTTTGTTCGATGCTGTTGCATTGCTGGTGACGGAGCGCCATGGAGCAGGCTTCTCTTCTCCCGTCTGCGAGGCGGACGCCGCATGCTGCAAGACAAAAACGTGTGACGTCGTCACGTTGCAAGAAAGGATCGAGTAGTAGCGTATGATGCATAAGTAGTAGTAGCGACAACAGCTGCAGCAGCAGTAACAGCAGCAGTAACAGGAGCGGTAACAGTAACAGCAGCCCCAGCAATATCATCGTCGTCATCATCATCGTCATCATCATCATCATCAGCAGCAGCAGCAATAGCATCAGCGTTAGTAGTGAACGCTCACCGGACTAGCAGCGCAATAATTCATTACCACGATCATTCTGGTTCCCCAGTCTCAACTCTCTCGTTCTCAGCCCGCATCTGGAAAGCAGACACGGCGTGCTGCAAACATGCAAGCATGCACTGCTGAAGAGAGGATAGCAGCGTTGCGATGTCACGTTGATGACAGGGGATATAGAAGTATAGTAGGTATAGTAGGTATAGTAGGTATAGTAGGTATAGTATAGTATGATGCGTTGCTATCTAATAGCGGCAGCAGTAGCAGTAGCACGACATCTAGCTGCAGTAGGAGCAGTGACCGTAGCAGTAGCAAAATGTACATCTGCGTTAGTAGTGGAAGCCCGTCGTACTGGCAAAGCAATAATTCTATCATTATGGCTCTCCAGCGTGTAGTCCTTCTATAACGAGTTGTGTTCTGTCGCGGCACCTCGGCTTTGCAGCCGCGTACCTTTAAACTACGATACTTGGCAATGGCGAATTACGGATAAATTCGCTGTCTCTAGGACGAGATTGACGTAGCGAGGCGGCTAGATATAAGAGCAGGTGAGGGGCAGGTGAAGGAAAAAAGATGAAACTCGAGTTGGGTGACGAGCATGATTGGGGAAAGTGTGAAATAGCTAAAGTTAGCGAGTCGGAGACGCAGAGAGAGGGAACAGGAAGAGAAGGAGAGACAGGGGAGCGTAAAGGAGAGTAAAATATTGTGCGCGAGCGTGCGTGCGTACGTGTGCGCGTGTGTGCGCGCGTAAATATGTGGATACCTGCATACCATGAGTTAGCAAGTGCAACAGGCAAATCGACCTACCGACCGAACGAACGAACGACAGACAGACAGACAGACAATCAGACAGAGAGACAGATAGATAGACAGACAAATAGGCAGGCAGCCGGCCGACTCGACAGCCGGACGGACGGACGGAGAGAAAAACAGACAGGCAGAGAGAGAGAGAGAGAGAGAGAGAGAGAGAGAGAGAGAGAGAGAGAGAGAGAGAGCCCACACACACACACACACACACACACACACCAGCTCCACGCACACACACGACACGCGCTCGCCACACGCACAACACGCGCGCGCGCACACACACACACAACACACACACACACACACGACACCCGCCTCCGCCGCATCGCAGCCCTGCCTCACACCCGTGAACGCTAACTGGAGCTACAGAGAGCAACGTCGACATCGGTGTTGACGACGTGTTACAGACCGCCCTGTCGTGAGAATGAAGCGAGACGAAGAGGTTCTTGTGGATCGTGAACGCACGTGCAGCTGCAGCTGCTGCGCGTGTAGAATGGAGAGAGCATGATGAGAGTCTGCTCAATATGATGTGTGAGTCGTCTTTACGATACATTACTGCTTCAGCTACACTGGACGCCGTCCTGTCAGCTGCGTGGAACGAGGACGTGGATGGCAAAGATCGATTCTGCTCTAAATATTCAGTTACGAAGCATATTCGTGCAAATCTCTCAATCGACACAGCTCTAGCGTTTCCCTCTCGATTTACGGAACAGCTATGGATCCCCAACGATGGCGTGATGCGGAGAATCGGATTCGATGTACGAATACGTTGGCAAAAATTGAACGAGTCGAGGGTAAGGTAATGTACGCGTTACGGCACAGCTATAGATTTTTATAGAAGAGCGTCTATCCGTAGCAGATCGGCAGTATGAGAAGATATACGAGCCTTCATCATCGACCGCCGGCAGAAAGCTAATTAAGTATGAAATCGGGCGTGGTCCAAGATGATGTCAGTTCAGACCAGTGCGCGCCGTTTGCGCAACGACGGTAACAGCAGGAGGAGGGAGAAGAGTAGAGGGGGGCAAGGAGGACAGAAGGAGAGAGAAATAGAAGAGGAGAAAGGGCCCAGCGAAAGGAACCGAGACCGAGATAGAGAGAGAGCGCGCGAAAGAGTGGAGAAGAGCGAGAGAGTGAGGGAAAAGAAGAAGATAACGAGAAAGAGAGGAGAGAAATAGCCGAGAAGAGAGAGAGCGCGAGCGAGAGAGAAAGCGAGAGAGAGAGAGCGCGCGAGAGAGGGAGACGAGAGTAGAGAGGAGTGAGGGAGAAGAGAGAGAGAGAAGAGAGATGAGGAGGGCGAGCGAGAAGAGAAAGCGAGGGAGAGAGAGAGAGTACGAGAGAGGAGAGAGAGAGAGCGACGAGGAGAGAGAGGCGCACGCTGAGAGAGAGCGCGCGCGAAAGAAGAAAGTGACAGAGACGAGAAGAGACGACGAGAGAGAGAGAGAGAGAGAGAGAGAGAGAGAGAAGGGAGGAAAGAAAAGAGAAAGAAAGCGTCGCCGCGTTGAATGTACACGCGGCGTGTATTCGTCCGATTAAGTAAGCGTCGGCCAGCTCTTCCGGGCGCGACAACACCGAGCTTGCGCATTAAATCCACGCCCACATTGCATCCATGATGAACCGCCGGTCGAATTTAACGTCACTAGACTCTACGCTGCGTCAGTGCACGCAGCCTCTCGCGGGCGACTTGAGAGGCTATCTGCGCGCACTGTTGGTCATTAGGCACGAATAACTCGCCTCGGTAGCCTCTGATGACTTTAATTGGGTAAACTGCGCCACCGATACAAAACCGTGTCGCTGCAATGAATGCTCTGGTCTATTAGCGCATAGCTGCCATAAGGAGCCATGATTATATATAAAAATATATATTATATATATATATTATAATATATATAGATAGATAGATAGATAGATAGATTAGATAGATTAGATAGAAGATAGATAGATAGATAGATAGAATAGATAGAATAGATAGATAGATAGATAGATAGATAGATAGAATAGATAGATAGATAGATAGATAGATAGATAGATAGATAGAGTAGATAGATAGATAGATAGATAGATAGATAGATAGATAATAGATAGATAGATAGATATATTTATATATATATATATATATGTTATGTACCTAAAACTTGGAAGATGATGAGTGCAAATGGAAATGGCCACCAGGGAGCAGGAGTAGCCGGCGATGAACAATTGCAACGTTCAGCCTTTTTCCTATGAGTGACAAAGTACATCGATATTAGGGTTAGCTCGCGTTCATGCTGCTGACGACGCAAAATATCCACAATATGCTGTACCGAAATGCTGCACAGCATTATAAATAAATAAATAAATAAATATATATATATATATATATATATATATAATATATATAAGCTATAGATATATATTC